TGCCAAAACCTAAGACCAGCCCGCGCTGGGCCACAGCAAGGCCCACCTGCGTTCAAACTTTTGTTTCCCACAGCAAGGCAACGAAACGTTCCTGGCCTTGGGGCAGATGCTTTTAAAGCCGGATACTGAGACACGGAACATTTCTCCGCTCCTGATTTATGACCTCTGTACAACATCTTCCTGCTATCATTGAAATGATGTAAAGCTTGTCCTCATTACTGCAATTTTGGCTCAGCCATGGTTGGATGAGATTAGAAGATGCTATGAGTCACTGGTGTGAAATGAATACTGTATATCTTTCCCCTGGTGTTCCCTGGTATTTGGAGGCAGGCCTTCCTCAATCGGCAGAAAATATTGAGGCTTCCAGATTGAACAGACAGGCCTGGCTTTCATGAATTCATCCAATCCTTTTTTTTTTTTGTAGCCACTCTGTCAGTTTCAACTATGCAAGGAAGTGCTTTCCCCCCTGGTTGTTTAGGTTTTATTCATGTTGTGATGTCGAACCTTTTTCTTGTGGTGTGCTGAAAGCCCCGGCGTGCTGGCACCCACAATGCAATGCGCCCTGTGCCCCCTGTGCATGAGCACACCACACACACACACAGACACAAACACACCCCTTACCTGCACTGTCATGTGTGCATCTCCCAGATGATTTTTGGCCCGTTTGAGGCCTTTTTCGGCCTCCCAGAGGCTCGAGGGAAGCCTCTGCAGCCTCGGGAGGCCGAAAAATGGGCCTTCCGGAAATACCGGAAGTGCTTGTTTTCAGCTTCCGGATGGCTTCTGGAGCCTGGGGGAGGCCATTTTTGCCCTCTCGGGGGCTTGAGGGAAGCCTCTGCTGCCCTTGGAGGCCGAAAAACAGACCTGTTTCGTCACTTCCATTTTTTCCAGAAATACTGGAAGTAACGAAACGGGCCTGTTTTTCAGCCTCCAAAGGCTGCAGAGGCTTCCCTCGAGCCTCTGGGAGGCCGAAAAAAAAGCCTCAAACGGTCCAAAAATCAGCTGGGAGGCGCACACATGCGCAGGTATGCATGCCCACACAAATGGCTCTACAAGCCACTTGTGGCACACGTGCCATAGATTCGCCATCACGGGTCTAGCAGGTTTTCTTTCATAAGCCATTGTCCCTTCCCTGCTGGCTGCCTTGGTTGGCCAATCCATTTCTGAGGATAGGAAAAAGACCCAAACTTTCCTTCTTTCAAAGTGACCTTTCCCAATTCTATCCTGCCTCCTTGCTGGTCGTGAGATGAGGGATTTCTTTAGAAACTTTAGTTCAGGTGTCCTCAAGCTACGGCCTGTGGGCCAGATATGGCCTTCCAAAGCCTTTAATCCAGCCCACACAGGACCATGAGGTTGCGCTGCCCACATCCCCCCACCAACCCACCCCTGCCTTCTGGAGGCAGAGGAAACCAAAACTGGGACACGTGGAGGCCATTTTTGGCCTACCCGGTCTCAAGAGAAAGAGGGAGGCAGGCAGAGAAAGACACACACACAGAAACACCCCACCCCAAGACAGCCACATCCCTTCACTAATCTGCTTTCCACCCCCAGGAGCATAACAAATCAAAGTTTAATTTGTGTGTGTTGTTTAATGGACTGCTAAATTGGCCACGCCCACCCAGTCACATGACCACTTAGCCACAGCTGCCCAGCCAGTCTGCCCCCCCCCCACCAAATAGTCCGGGGGACCATGAACTGGCCCCCTGTTTAAAAAGTTTGAGGATCCCTGCTTTAGTTTGTCCCCAAACCAAGAGAGCCAACTATTGTGCAGGCAAGCGCTAAGACCTTATAGCTTGTGGCTTCTCCCAATTCCTCAGGGATTCATCTTAAATTTATTTCTAAAAGCACTCTTCCATTCAGCCCTATATGTTCTCCTCCCTGAGGATATAAAAGATATAACACTTTCAAAAACAACAACTCTGAAACAAAAGAGTTTTTGAAGCTGCATCTTCAATACAGTCTGGAAGAAGGAAAACAAAAACCCAGAAAATTTCATTACATGGCTTCCAAATGCCTTTTCAACTCTCTGGTTTTAAATGCAGCCAAATTAGCTTCCCGAAGAAGGTTTTTTGCCAAGGGGAGGCCATTACCAAGAAGGTCCTGAGATGTGTAACAAGGAGAATTGAACAGCTATTCTGGAGTCCAGTTTAATGATGGGACGCAAAGGAGCTCTTTTGGCAGATTATGATCCCCACCTACTGTACTTATATATGGACTGTTTTATCCAGATTGGAAAGTTACCTGTTATTTGTCAAATGAGGGGAAAAAAATCAGTATAAATGGTCCAATACAGCAATAGCAATCGCACTTGGACTTATATACTGCTTCACAGTGCTTTTACAGCTCTCTCTAAGTGGTTTACAGAGTCAGCCTCTTACCCCCAACAATCTCAGTACTCATTTTACCCACCTTGGAAGGATGGAAGGATGAGTCAACTTTGAGCCTGGTGAGATTCAAACTGCCAAATTGCAGGCAGCCGGCAGTCAGCAGAAATAGCCGGCAGTACTGCACTCTAACCACTGAATCACCATGGCTCTTATAATGTTGTAATATTATTTTCATTGCTACTGAAGCAATGAAGCCCTACAACACACGGGCCCAGGGTGTCTGAGGTGCCGTCTCTCCCCAATGGGGAAGCTCGCCCCACTTGTGCCAGTGAAAGAGTCCTGCCACGGATCCTGTCTGCTAAGGAATTCCAGCAGGTGGGTTCAAGGAGAAGAGCCTTTTCTGCTGTGGCTCCATCCCTGTGAAATAAGTCTTCTGTCAGAAGTGAGAACTGCCCCCTCCCTTTTGGCCTTCTGGCTTTGCGCTTGGCCTGGGTCCTCAAGGGGGACAACGACACACTCATCACTGGAGGTGGCTGATGGGGTAAGAAGACGTCATCCCTGTCCCATCCCTCTCTTAGTTCTCTTAGTTTCGGTTTTAGTACAGTTTTCAATGTTCGACCTGTACTTTTAAGTGTTAATATGCTTAATATTAATATTAATATGCTTTCCTTCATAAGGTCGCAGTGGGTCAGACACAACTTCACAACTAACAACAACAATGCTTTCATTAAGGGACACGGTGGCTCAGTGGTTAATAGGCTGAGCTTGTCGATCAGAAAGGTTGGCACTTCGATGGTTCGAATCCCTAGCACCATGTAATGGAGTGAGCTCCTGTTACTTGTCCCAGCTTCTGTGAACCTAACAGTTTGAAAGCATGTAAACATGGAAGTAGAAAAATAGGGACCACTTTGGTGGGAAGGTTAGCGCCTTTGGCATTTAGTCATGCTAGCTACATGACCACAGAGACATCTTTGGACAGCACTGGCTCTTTGGCTTTGTAACAGAGATGAGTATCGCCCCCTAGAGCGGGAAACGATTGGCACGTACATGCGAGGGGAACTTTTACCTTTTTATTCTTTCATTACTCTTACTTATTTTATAACTTGTAAGCAACCCAAAGTCACTTTGTAGGGGAGATAGGAGGCGTAATAAAGTAAGTGTGTGTGTGTGTGTGTGTATACACACAAAGTAAAACTTAAATTAAATAATTAAATCAAACAGATGGCCTTTTAATTTCTTATGTTAACAAGACTGTTTAATGAAGATTTGGCTGAACGGCTTAAAAATGAATTGTTTACTATTTGGATGACCGGTAATTAAATGGACTTTTTTTTTTGAAGAACTATTTTTTATCATGAACTGAGAACAGCTATTTTAATTAGAGTCCCTGTTTAGTAAACAAATTATCTCTTATTGGCAGGCTCCAACAGGTATTTGGAGTACCAGCAGGTATTCAAGCAGGTTGGAATTTAATTGAAGTGCTTTTGGATTTCATAACGGGAGGCTGCTTTTCAAGGAAAAAGTAATTTCTCCTTCCTCGTAGCCATTAACCCACTTCAAAAAGAATGTTTTAAGATATACAGAATCAGAGTCAGAAGGGGCCACAGAGGCCATTAAGTCCAACCTCCCTGCTTAGTACAGGAATTCAAATTAGAGCACCCCTGACTGAGGGGTGCCTAGCCTCTGCTTAAATACATACAATGAAGATGAGGCTACTACAGGTAGTCCTTGACTCATGACTGCAACAATGGAGTCCAAAATTTCTGTGAAGTGACTTCTACCTCTTTTTACAACCATTTTTGCCACAGTTGTTAAGTGAATCTGCCTTCCCCATTGATTTTGCTGGCCACAAGGTTATAAAAAATGATCACGTGGCCCTGGGGCACTGCAACCGTCATAAATATGAGTCGGTTTGCCAAGCGTCTGAAGCAAAGGAAATCGCAGGGCAGAAGTAAAGCATGTCAAATATAGACCTCAGTGGCCCAAGCCTTGCAAAACTTTCCTTTGTAATCAAAGTCCATGAAAGCAAGGTAATTTCCACGGTTGACGCTGATTAGCAGAGGCAGCCGTGAACACAGGATGTTGATACTTCCCACGCAGCAGGAAATGGACTATAATATATACCTTTGACCCTGGTGGCACGGAAGGAGGCAATAGTGGGAGAATTATTGCAAAGAGGAAAATGAAAAGAAACTAGAGCCTAGGTTTTCACTTCTAATCTCTTCCTGAGCCAAATATGCTCTACAAAGCCGTCCTATTTCACTATCAGATCTGGGCATTTGCCAAGGTATATAAAATCCTCCAGAGAGCACAATACAAGCCGTTGTTGGTCCCTAACAACAACAGCGATGCCAGTGACAAATGCAATTGGGATTGGAGGGAACTGGAATTGGTGTAGTACCCTTTCTCTGCTGAGAGTTGACTGAAAGGTTGAGGAGATGAATAGGAAGACCTGGTGAAGTTTGGCCCTGGGCTGTGAACCAAGCAATGTCTGAGGAACATCGTGAGTCTAAGTTTATGGCTCTAAGTCATGGCCAAACCAAGATCCTTCCTTATTCTGATTGCTCTGGCCACCCCTAGAAAAAGG